ATCGTTGGATAAGGAAGCCAGGGTCTGGAAGCTGGCGGAATTCCAATCGCGAACTGGCCATGGCTATCGCCGCCGCCCTCATCAGATGAGGAACCCTCCAGGGTCCGAAGCCTCTACAGGGCAGGTTCCTCAAAGAACGCCCCCACCGTAGCCTCCTGGGCACGGTCCTCAACGGACGCCCCCACAGTAGCACGTTGGGGTGTTGGGGTGACGCCGAGCTGAGCTCCCGCGGCCCTCGCCCCAGAGCTCGGCACCTGCGGGGCCCCAGCGCGCTCGCATCGCTTCAGGGATCTCTCCCGCACTGCGTCGGCCACCCCGAGCCAGGATCGCACGGTCTGCGCCGACGGGTAGCGCGCAGGATCGGCTTGCTCCCCGCCGCGGGCCGCCAGGGCGCAGCAGACCGCCGCAAATGGGGAAAACCGCGCTTGGCAACGCGCCCGGGCCCTCGAACGAACAAGCAGGGCCGCGAGGGCGCTCCAGAACGGGCGGGGCGATCCCTGGACCTTGGCGTCCCCGGATCCGCCGTGGTCAGGCTCCCGCGGGGCGGTTCAATTTGCATTTCGTGCGCCCCGCTACTGCCACATCGCACGAGCAGTAACATCTGCCCAGCAGCCGACGCAAAAAGTGCGCGGGAGTGGAGACCGGGCTGCTGTCTTGAGTAGCAGCGACACGCCGACGGGCGTGCGGGACGACGGCTCGGCGCGGCTTATTTGCCGCGTCCGCGCGGCCGCCGCGGAGGTGCGGCCCCGGAACAATACCGTCGTCGTGAGCGAGCACGTCGGCGAGATCGACCACACAAAGAAGCCCCAGGCGCTCAGCGCCTGCTCACCTCAAGGGTCACGGCGAGCTTCTCGGTCCCGCGGAGCCTTCTGAGTCCCTTCTGCGCGTGAGCCTCGCGAGTCCCGGCCCGACGACGGCGGCCGTCGGGTCGTGTCCAGCCCAAGATCCTTGCCGCGGATGCTGCCATTTGACTGGCCACACCTTCTCGTCACCAGCTTTGCTCCTGCTGCTCCCAAGCCCGGGAATCGAAGCCGTGACCACGGATTTCGGCGAGATGCTGCGACCGTGAGATTTTTGGGTGGACCCCAGAGCGCGATGGGGTTCGGGGGGATCTGGATCATTTCCCTCTGAGAGAGGTCCAAGCCCGCATGTGTATAGGTAGATGCATCTACGTGTCATCCACCCGCGTCCGATATCGGAGACGTGGAAAATGGCGGCGCAAAACCTCAGTAATGATAACGAGGAAGCACCTGCCGAGGGAGGTAGATTGCGCGCGCTCTTGGAACGCGCCGTCCGTCGGGCACGCGGGCGCCGAGCACCTGCGCGTCGATGATGACGGGGAACGAGCCGCCTGATGGGCAATCAGATCTAGAATGAGTGCAGCGGCTGGGTACTGGACCTCAATGGCCCAACGCACCCCGTGCAAACTGTAACAACGAACCTCTCAATGCCCAGCAGAGCTCCGACCATGGGCATCTGAAACTTGGCTGCCAGCTCAGCCGGCACGTCGCTGAGTGACGCCGCGCGAAGGCAAGCGAATCATCGGGCCGCGTCTGACTGCCTACCGGACCACCCCAACCCAACCCGAAGACCCGAATTTCGGGTTGGGGGGGGTAAGGGTTCCACATGTGTTTTTTCGATGTTTCCCGACCCCCCCCCACTGGAAATCGAGGGTAAATCTGAGCCTTCGGGTTGGGTTGGGGTGAGTTGGTGGGTGGTGAGCGTCGCTTCAGAGGCCAGCACGCCTGGGGCCCCGCTCCAAGCGCGCCAACCTATCTGACCTGGCCAGGATCCGGGGGGCCCGCTGGCGCGGGGCACGGGCCCGCCTATACTTCGTGCGGCGTGGGCAGGGAGGCGGACCTCGCCAATGAAGCCCTGCGCACTGAAATCAATGGTCCTCGGAACCTGATTGGGCGGGTCGGTGAAGGCGCGCTTGCCCTTGGGCGGCGAGGCGGCGAGTTCACCGGGGCGCCGACAATCGGCCCCGACTGCTGAGCTAAAGAGCTGCGCCTGCGAACATCTTGGGCGGAAGCTTCACGCGGTGCCCAGTCGGGCTCCGAAGGTGCCGCGACGATTGCCACGCGACGCAACTCTCCAATCTTTTGAGTATCCAGCGGGCGGCCGCAAGGTCCATTGCGTCTCCACGGACTCGCCGCCATGTGGCCGATTCTGTATGATGAGGGAGGGGCCATCTGAGGGCCGACCGTCCAGGGGGGCGACGTCCTGCTCTGGAGATGGCGCGGGATGCCGCCCCCCGCCCCCTTCGCGACGCCCCCCCCATCGATCCGCGCCTGGGGCGCTTTTCGAGCCTCTCGGCCCTCTTCCGAAAACGCTAAGTGGCGAGATCCACGCAGTTCCCAAGCGAGTCCCCAGCTCGATGCACATTGGCATGGAAAACCACCTCGTTGGCGAGGAAATCGGCCCCGGAGTGATCGACGAAACAACGGGTCCATCGGGTGCCCGAAACTATGGATTTGGCAGTAAGCTGTAAGTGCACATTGACCTCGCTGAAAATGCACGGTTGCGTTGCATGTTGCGTTGGATCTTTACGTTGGATCTTTACGCTGGATCTCTCCACTGTGCACTGTGCACTTCTGTGAATGCAATTGTGCACTTACTAGTGTGCACGAACGGCCTACTCAATGTGCACTTACGGTTAACCGTGTATGGATTTGGCCTGACCCCGAGCTCCCATGTGCTGGAGTGCAAAAGAGGTGGGCCCTGACACCCACCCGGGCCCCCCCGACTTCCTTTGGCGGTCGGGATGGCTGAGCATATGCATGTATTCCACCCATCCTTCTTGAACTGCTTGCGCACTGAGTTGCGCATTGAAACGACGCGGTGTGCACGCACATTGCCGAATATCTTCCTCCCCTCCTGAACGTCCCAAGGCCCGTGAGAAGGACGGGCCGCCAAAATTGGCGGTGCCGTCTACACCTCGATGAGGCGGATCTCTAATGGTGATCCCCGCTGGCGTCGGCAACCACGCCCTGCTCAGGGCAGCTGGGGCTGTGGCTCCGGCGGCGGTCCTCTGACGGCTGGGGCGGACGGGCTCCAGGACACGAACGCTATCCGCGCGCTCCGCGCGCGGGGCGGACGCGTGCCACCGCTGCCGCTGCGGCTGCGCCGGCTGCTGGCAGTGCGAAGTCGGCCTCCACCTGCGCCCGCTGGCCGAGCTGCCTGGAGTGCTGGTCCGCCCCCCCACTCGTGCGCCTCCTGCCTCCCCACCTGTGCCTGCTCCGAGATGGGCTGCCATGCCCAGGTAGGCCGGGAGGAAGGCCGCAGGCGCCTGCTGGCCCGCGGAGCTCATTAGCCCAGCGCCGCCACCAGCTGCACCTCCTGGCCCCGGATGCCCTGGAGCTGGAGCGCCAACTGCAGGAACGCGAGCAAGGAGTTCTACAGTCGGCCTTGTTTGGACAGGACACGAGAGAGGACACAAGACCCTTCCGAGGGCCACATTGCCATGGGGGATGTAGGAGGCATGGGTCCCGAGGCATAGGACACAAGGGTACCTAAGGGCACCCTTGATTTGGCAGGGTCGACCTCCTAATCAGGGCCGACTGTAGGGCGGACAACCTTGGCCCAAGCGGTGGAGAGCTTGGCGGCCTCCTCCTGGGCGTTGGCCTCCTGGGATACAGCTGCAGCCAGGTCTGTATGTCTGTATCGGCGTGCTCAAGCCGCTCTGGTAGGTGATCGGCTCGCTGTGACAGATTGGGACATCCCCACAATCTGGACGCGAAAATTGGGGTGTCCCCACCCCTGCTGTCTTCTCCTGGGGGAGCCCAAGTGCAACGCCTGCTCTAAAGCGACGGGCACTGGGGCACCCTCAAAACAAACAAAAGAGAGAACAAAGATAACAACATTTTGGGACAGTAGGGCTCTGATCCCCAACACAAAGGACAAACAATTGTGGGGCGAAACGGGCAAACCACCCGAGACACCCCCGCAGTCTGGACACAACTTGTCGCAGTGCCCCTACCCTTGGCGGCTCCCCCCTGCGGTGCTCAAATGCCACGCCTGCTATTTCTTGGTGAGCTGGACCACGGACAGAGAAAACCCAGGGCGGTGCAGTATGAGCGTGAGTTGATCCGAGTGTGAGTGAGTCTGGGACTGAGTGAGTCTGAGTATGAGCGAGTCCGCGTACGAGTGAGTCTGTGAATGACTGGGTCTGCATATGGAGGACTCTGGGTGCGGCTGATGAGCAAGCCCTCAATGTGAATGGGTGCGTCTGGTTGGGGAAGAGGAGGAGGCGAGTGAGGTCCCGAGGCGTCTACGTAACAAAAAGCTCCCGATCTCAGGCCATGGAGAAACAGCACTTAACTGTTATCATATCGTCTTCGTCTCTACCACATAGCTTGCGGTCAGGCAGGGCGGGTCCTGCATTTCTGGTTGCACGAGATTTGGCACGTTTCTCCTAGTTGGGCAGCACTGAAGCTGGCCTGGCTTTCCATTCGCCCTTGCACCAAACTCATGCGAAAACCACCACTGCAAACATCACACCAATATTCCTCCTGATGCTCGGCGTCCCCCCCCCCTCTCTCTTCTCCTATCTCATCCTCCTCCTCCTCCTCCTCTTCCTCTCCCGTCCTCCTTTGGCCTCTTCTTGGAAAAAGAGTGAATCTCACATGCACATCAACTTTCAAAGGTCTGCGCGGAGATCTAGGATCGGCAGCACCGATCAAGGAACTCCACGCGAGCCTCCGCATGTTTACGGTCGACAATGTTTGCTTGGCATTTCGTGGCGGCGGCCCTGGCGAAACGCTATGCCCTGCAAGCGGATGGCGTGTCGCTCCGCTTCGCGGAGTAAGAAGCTGGAGGAGGCTCGGGAATCAAAATGGCTGGCGTGCAGCCCCGAAGCGTGGCGGGCCGCAACCGGCGGCAAGACACGCCAAACCCATGCTCCCGACTGTAAGCGCATGTGTCGATCTTTTTGTTCGGGAGGGCTGGGCTGCGCGCGCGAGCGACGCGCGGGCGGCGCCGGCGGCCAGGCAGGCCCGCGCCTTCTGCAGCCGCTTCCCCTCCGACTCGTGCGCCTTCCTCTTCTTCTTCTTCTCCGCGTCGGCGTGCGCCTCTCAGCTGAGCTTTGGTATGGAGGGGGGGCAGGGCGAAGCGATATTTCGGTCTCAACTTCTCTGTCGTGCCAGTGTCCGACGCCGCCTCCTCGAAGTGCAGTCAGACAGCACCTTTCTCTCCACTCCCCTTCCTTGCTCCTGCGCGCGCGTGCTGGCAGGAGAGAGGGCCACGGTCACTTCGACGCAGGCCCGTCTGTGAAGGAGCGACGTGGTCGCCGAAAAATCTCCGGAGCGGCTGCAAAGCCAGACTATCCCAACCACCGAGCTTGAGATCGACAGCTGTTGCAGTTCGGGGGCGGCAAAGAGGGGGGTGTCCAAGAGGGGGTGGTGCAAATCATGACCGGCGGCATGTGCGCGGCCCAAGGGGGGGGGCTGGGGACGTAAAGAAATGAGAAGAGGCGCCATGAGATCTGGGGTGGATATCATGGCCCACGCCATGATATCCACCCCCCCTAGTCATCACCCCCCTCTTTGCCGCCCCCGACTGACCGAAGGCCCCGGCGCCGTCTGGGGGCGTCCTGGGGCCCTCCCGTGGCGCTCTCGAGCCGCCGTGCGGTCTCGAGGTCATCACCCCCCTCTTTTCCGCCCCCGAGCAGTGTGGGGCTGCAGCGCACGGAGGCGCCGGGTTGGTCACGCGCTGGCGCCTCCGAGGGAGCTGGGGTCGCGGCGCGGCCCGCCGCCGCAGCCCGAAGAGGAGCGGGAGGAGGCCGCAGGTGGAGGAGGAGGGGGAGGAGGAGGAAAAGGAAGAGGAAGAGTAGGAGGGGGAGGAGGAGGAGGAGGAGGAGGGGGAGGAGGGGAGGAGGAGGGGGAGGGGGAGGGGGAGGTCGAAGGAGGAGGGGGAGGTCGAAGGAGGAGGAGGAGGCCGCAGGAGGAGGAGGAGGAGGAGGAGGAGGAGGAGGAGGAAAAGGAGGAGGAGGAGGTCGAAGGAGACAAGCGTACGTAGCACCCCGCAGATGCGGATAAGAGTGAGGGGGCGGTGGGGACGGCGGCAGTTTGCGAGACTCTGGAGAAGCCCACCGCAGGCGCCAAAGTTTCACAAAGTATGCAACAAGGCCACCAGGCGCAGATTTTTGATTAAACCAATGTGGGTGGGTCGCGAGTGGGTCGCGGGTGGGTCGCTGTTGTGTCGCGGGTGTAGAGGGACGCAAATCCACTCCATAATAATCAACCCGACAAGCGAAGCCGTTGATTAAACGCACGCAAGGAATGAATCGAACAAGGCAAGGCTGTTTAGTAAACGCCCAGGGCCTTTTAGTAAACGTCAATTGTCGGGTCCGGGTGGTTTCTCCTCCCTCGAGGGTAGGTCACGGGGTGGGTCGCGGGTGGGTCGCGGATGGGTCGCGGATCGGTCGCGGGATGGGTCGCGGGTGGGTCGCGGGGTGGGTCGCGGGTGGGTCGCGGGTGGGTTGCGGGTGGGTCGCGGGGTGGGTCGCGGAGTGGGTCGCGGGTTGGGTCGCGGGTTGGGTCGCGGGGTGGATCGCGGGGTGGGTCGCGGGGTGGGTCGCGGGGTGGGTCGCGGGTGGAACGACGACAACAAACAACAACAACAACAACAACAACAACAACAACAACAACAACAACAACAACAACAACAACAACAACACCAACAACAACAACAACAACAACAATCATTTTACCCGAACGCTCAGTGTTCTCCCCAGTGCCAGGGTTTTCTTGCGACACCAGTCAATACCCCCACTTCGTGGGGGGGCCGTTCAAGCTCTACCAAATATCCAAACGACTCTTCGAGACCACCCACACCCAGCTTCCCGCCCTATGACGTTGGGACACTTCACTTCGTGGCGTGCGGACGACGCTGGCTACTACACTGGCGTGGGGTACACACCCACAGAGGTTGATCACATCTGTTACATATGATGTGGTCCACGGTACACGTGAGATGGTACGCAGTGCCAAGATAGTTGAAGTAGCACGCAAAGACCCTTTTGACAGAAATGTTTAAAAAGTTGTGTGTTTCCTATGAATCCGCAAGAGCGCGCGGAAGGACATTTTGACAATTTTTTCTTAAAAAACCATTGGGTTTTTGATGTTTTTATGTTAAAATCGCTACGAAACCTAAGGTTTTGGAAGGATTTCGTCTTGCGAGCGCGAATGTCCACTTTACCTTATTTTTTGCAAGGGATTCTTGAAATTTGATCAACTAAGAACAAGAATTTTCATTTTCTATTGTTTTTTGCAAGGGAAAACGAGCGTCAACAAAAAACCGGATCCGGGGGTAATCCACTTTTCTGAAGCTTTCGCAGAAAAATGATGAAAATGTAGCTGCGGCCTAGGTTTTGGGCGGGGGGCGTGCACCAGGGGGTCCAACAATAATAATTCTTTAGAAGTAATAGTGTTCAACAACAACAATTACTAGCACGTGGGGACACTCCGTTCTCACCAGTGCCAGGGTTTTCATAGGAGGCGGGCAATACCCCCACTTTGTGGGGGGGCCGGTTCAAGCTCTACCAAATTTCCAAACGACTCTTCGCCACCACCCACACCCAGCTTCCCGCCCTATGACGTTCGGACACCTCACTTCGTGGCCTGCGGACGACCTTGGCTACTACACTGGCGCATGGGTACAATGACTTGTTGTGGTAACATTTTCTGTAAGCTAGCTTAGTATACGACTTTTCCCCCTGCAATTGAAGATTTCGGCGTGCGCGCGCGAAGAAAAAACGAATGTGTCCCATATGGTATTATTTGACAGGGATGATGGCCCTGGCAGGCGCGCAACCTTTGTTGCAGAAGTTCGAAGCACGTGAAAAAGTTGCTCGCAAGAGCCCGTTTGACAGAAATGTTGAAAAAGTATTGGGTTTCCTAAGAAATCCGCAAGAGCGCGCGGGGTGAATTTTTGAAACCCTTTTTTTGAAAAACCATTGGGTTTTTCATGTTTTTATATGAAAATCGCTACGAAGACTAAGGTTTTGGAAGGATTTCGTCTTGCGCGCGCGAATGTGCACTTCGTGTCATTTTTTGCAAGGGATTCTTGAAGTTTGGTCATGTTAGAACAAGAAATGTCCACTTTGCCTTATTTTTTGCAAGGGAAAACCGATCGTAACAACACAACCGGATCTGGACCACATCGTTTTGCCTGAGGCTTCCTCACGAAAATTATGAAAATGAGGCTGCGGCCTAGGCGCGGCGGGGGGGGCGCGCACCAGGGGCCCCAACAATAATTATTCTTTAGAATTAATAATGTTCAACAACAACAACAACACCACCACCAACAACAACAACAACAACAACAACAACAACAACACCGACAACAACACCGACAACAACTACAACAACAGCAGCAGCAGCAACAACAACAACACCAACACCAACACCAACACCAACACCAACACCAACACCAACAACGACAACAACACCACCACCACCACCACCAACAACAACAACAACAGCCACACCAACGACAACAACAACAGCAACAGCAACAAACACAGCACAAACAACAACAGTCGTGTTACCCTCATGAGCGTTGTTTCCACACGAAGCATGCGACCATCATGATAACCACCCTAACCATGGGGGATTATTGCTCTATAGCGGGATCCGTTTTCCCATTCCCAGATCTCCCGCCCAATGAGGTCGTGCAAACATCTCCCCCGAGGAATTTCAACAGATCACCCCACGAAATCGCATGCCCGCGCCTTGCTGGGCCGATGCGAGACCGCCAGTGGAGCCCCAGCCAAGGGTAAAGCACACGGAAGTATCGAGCGACAGGCTTGCCTTGGTGGGGCTGGAGGCTGTCGGCGGCGAGGCAAGGACCTGGCCCTGAATAGGAAGGGCGGAAGTCTCGAGCAGGGCCGCTGTTTTTGCTGGGGGCGGCGCCAATGCTGAAGAGAGTAGGGCGCTCCAGCGAAAACGAAACGAAGTCTCGAGCGGGAGCGCTGGTTTGTTGAGAGCGGTTATCGGCGGCGAGGAGGAACACCGCCTTGAGTAAGAAGGGAAAAAGTCTCGAGCGGGAGCCGTGGTTTTGTCGGGACGGGGGCTGTCGGCGGCGAGGAACAGCACTGTCCTGAGGAAAAAATGAGGAAGCCTCGAGCGGCAGCGTTGTTCTTGCTGGGAGCGGCGCCAACTCAAAACAGAATATGGCGCCAGTCCAGCGTAAAACGGAAGGAAGTCTCGGGCGGGAGCGCTGGTTTTGTCAGGGCGGCCGTTTTCGGCGGCGAGGAGGAGGACCGGAGCAAAAAAGGGAGGACGTCTCGAGCGGGAGCGTTGTTTTTGCGGGGGGGCGGCGCCGAAGAGAGAAAGAGCAGCGCGCCGATCCAAGGTAAAGCGGGAGGAAGTCCCGAGCTGAAGCGCTGGCTTTGTTGGGGTGGCGGCTTTCCGCGGCGAGCAGGAGCGCCGGCCCTGAGTAAAAAAGGAGAAAGTCTCGAGCGGGAGCGTTGTTGTTGTTGTTGGGGGGGCCCCTTTTGGCGCCCCCCCAAAACCGCTCGAACGTGAGCCTCATTTTCAAGGAAAATGTAGCCGGTGCCGAGGCGAGAGCGCCAAAGCGCCTGGGGGGGATCCAACAATAAAGAAGGAGGAGGGGGGAAGGGGGAGGATCGCGTCGAGGGAAGGGGGCGGGGGGGGGGGGGAGGCTGGATGGGGGGGCGGGCCGAGGACGAGAGTGGGGCCGGCAGGGAGGGGGGGGGGAGGACGAGGGCAGGAACTGGGGCAAGGACGGCGAGGACGAGGGCGGGGAGGGCGAGAGGCGCGGCGAGGCGCCCTGAACTGGTCGTGGTACTGCTTCATCGCCGAGGAGGGCAGCGTGTCGCGAAGCAGCAGGACCGCGGTGAACATGAGCATGTCCTGGCTCGGGCGGGGGCAGCGGCCACACTCCAGCAAGAGACGGCGGCGCTCGGGATAACGAAAACGGGGAGGGGGAGGAGGAGGGAGAGCAGGGAAGACAAGAGGGGACCGTGAGATGTGTTTGCCACATTCCCACTGAAAGGACCCCTCCCCGAGTTCAATCTCGTACTCCGACTGCACAGCTTGTGGCGTGAGCGATGCGAGGTGAAAACTGAGGCGAGCCGCCGCCAGCCCGCTCGCCGTCTGAGCCCCCGCTTGAGCTGGTGAGCGTTTTCTTGTTCGGCGTTTCGACACTGGGCGGAAAGGGGGGGGGCAGGGGGGGGGTCTGGCTCCAGACCTCTGCTTACTGCGACTGTTTGCAACAGTGCGCCCAGAGGAGAGAGACTCCACCTGCTCGAAACAGGCGCCAAAAACAGCTACTCCATGGGGTGGGGAGAGGGGGGGGGGGGGCGAGGGCCCGCGCCGATCGGCAAAACACTAAATCGGTCGAAAGAAGTAGATAGAAACATGAAGTAGGAAGTCGTTGAAAGTAGATCGGGTTCCGTCCGCCACCTTGGGCGGACGGACACGGCGAAGCCACTCGATCATTGAAGCAGGAAGGCGCTCAAGAGTAGACTGGAACCTGGGAACCCAAAAGGTGCCTGCCTTCGAACAACCGATGGGCAAAAGAACGACCGCCCGGGCGCCGACCGCGGCAACCCGGCCTGGGGCCCCGCATGCCGCCCAGGGGGGGAGCGCGCTCACCTTGCTGGGCGGGCGAGGCCCGGGCCTCGGGGGGGAGAGAGCTCGTCGTCGCCGGCCTCCCCCCCCCGCCGAGGAGGGCCACTAACGGCGGGGGAGGGCGGCGAGCCGCCCGTGCTGAATTCGACGATGCAAAACAATCCTGGGCCACACTCGCTGCCCACTCGCGCGCCGCGGCCGCCCGCGCCTCTCGCGCCTGCAGCCCGCGCGTCTCATGTCGCGCCGCCTGGCCCGTGGCCCTGGCCGCATCGGCCGAGCCGATCACCTGGGCCCCTCCACGTAACCACGTACGAAAGTCTCAACCCCGCAATCAGCCCAGGGCGACCGCGCGACGCCCATGACCTCCAGGCGAGCGGATACCGCCCCGCTGGGTACGGTGGGAGCATTGGATAAGGAACCCTTAAATAAGGAATCCAGGGTCTGGAGGACGGTGGAACTCCAATCGAAGCTTGGCCACGAACGTCACCGCCGCCCTCATCAGATAAGGAGTTCTCCAGGGTCTGCAGCCTCCTGGGCGCATTCCTTAACCATCGCCCCCACCATAGTGTTGGAGGAAGGGGTTGGGAGGATGAAGGGCATGAGCAATAGCATCCGGATGCAATGAACGATACGAGATTGTTTTTTTATTCTGGCCGATAACGCTCGTTACCCGGGGGGGGGGGGGGGGGGTCGTGCCCCCCGGGTAACGGTAACGCTTGGGCTGGGCGGGGTATGGCGAGGCAGGGGCGCTCTGCGATCGCCATAGTATGCGCGCGAGCAGCACTCTCTGCCTGAGAGCACCACAGTGGCTTGCGATTCGAGTACAAGCGCAAAGCCCGCCGCGTGGTCCCGGCACCACGCCCGCGCCCGCGCGCGCGACGACGATGATCGACGAGCGACGAGCGACGAGGTCGACGACGACGACGACGACGTTTGCCGCCTGTTTCGGCCTCCGGAGGCCGTTTTCGGGCGCCGTCGACGACGACGACGACGACGACGACGACGACGACGACGACGACGACGACGACGACGACGTTTTTCGCCTTTTCGGACTCCGGAGCCCGTTTTTCGGGCGCCGTCGACGACGACGACGACGACGACGACGACGATGAAAACGACGACGACGACGACGACGACGACGACGACGACGATGACGACGACGACGACGACGACGTCGGCGACGGCGACGGCGACGGACGACGACGACGACGACGACGACGACGTCGTCGTCGTAACACGGAGCGGGGGGCAGGAAAGACGCCTCTCTGGGGCCCCTCCTCGTAGGATTGCCGTCCCTCCCCCTCCTCCTGCTTGTAATCCTCCTGATCCCCTTCCTCCCCCCTCCTCCTCCTCCTCCTCCTCCTCCTCCTCCTCCTCCTCCTCCTCCTCCTCCTCCTCCATCCTCCTCCTCCTCCTCCTCCTCCTCCTCCTCCTCCTCCTTCCTCCTCCTCCTCCTCCTCCTTATCCCCGCCATCGCGGTCTGTGATCACCGCGCCACGCCTGCGGTCAAGGCGCCATGCGTGTGAGCACCGGCGACCGCGGCGGCACACATGTGAGCGGGCGCTAGAGAACCACCAGCGTGCCTGCGAACGCCACAACGCGCGCGTATACAACAGCATGCCAAACCGTGTCGGCACCGAAAACGTTCGCGAGCAGCGCAACTCGTCCTCGAACACCCCGCACAAGCCTGCGTGTGCCATGGTAGCACACGAGAACCGCAGTGTACCTGTGAGCAGCACAGCATGCCTTCGGGCACCAGCATGTTAGGGGGGAAGGCCATAGAGCAGGACGACGACGACGACGACGACGACGACGACGACGACGACGACGACGACGACGACGACGACGACGACGACGACGACGACGACGACGACAACGTTTTTCGCCTTTTTCGGACTCCGGAGGCCGTTTTTCGGGCGCCGTCGACGACGACGACGACGACGACGACGACGACGACGACGACGACGACGACGACGACGACGACGGCAACGAGGACGACGACGACGACGACGACGTTGTTTTTGTGCCTTTGTCGGACTCCGGAGGCCGTTTTTCGGGCGCCGTCGACGACGACGACGACGATTCGAGTACAAGCGCAAAGCCCGCAAGCACCAGCATCGCGCATGCGAGCGCCGCAATGGCCTGCGAGCGCCCACAGTGCGCCTGCGACCACCACACCACAGTGCGCATGCCTTCGGGCACCAGCATGTTGGAGGGGAAGACCGAGACCCCCCCCGCGCACGAGCGGTACCGTTACGGGGGGGGGGGGGGGAGAGGCCCGGGTAACGAGCGTTACCCCCCAGAGGATAAAAAAACAATCTCTACCCTCGGCCGCCTCCGGATAAGGGCATCCCCATTTCTACCAGCCCCATGCTCCCAACCCGATAGTTGTATTACTGACCCATGCTGCGCGCTCTGCTAGAGGCTTGGGAGCGGTGTGTTCAGCCAGCGGATGCTCGACGACCCCTGGGGGGCCAGGCCGCTGCTGCTGTCCAGTGACGGCTCGGCTGCAGGCGCTTTGTCAGCATGAGGAGGCCGAGTTCCGCTTGTGCTTTGGTTCGGAATCTGGGCACTCCCATTCCCCGAGGTCGATGAGATTGAGCGCCTCGACTCCCATGGAGTCGCGAGTGCCCGTGTCGGACAATATTATCTCCATGTTGGCCGCGCATGCATCGAGCTGCTATGCGAGCGACGTGCAAGTAGCCGTCGAGGACGTCAACGTCCTCAGCGCGAGCCCTAGCAGCCTGGGCCCCGCGCTTGTCGCGCCATCCAACTCAATCTGGGGGACCTTGCCATCTGCGACAGCATTCTGGCCCACGTGAGCTTTGACCATGACCATGGTATCGCCGTCGAGCTTGGTTGCTTGGCCCGATGACAGATGGGACCTGACCTCGTTGGGGCCTGCCACACGGATTGGTGCCATGGCGCACCGCACCGTGGTCAGGCAATCGATGTGGAGCTTGTAGCTGCAACCGCCAAGCTTGCTCATCTCCTCCAGTGGGGCCGCACACTAGACAGCGGCTGTGAGGCGAGGCTGCGGATCATAGACGACGACCGCGCAACCAGCCGTGCAGAGGCGGGGGAGAGCCTGGTCGAGGCCTGGGCCGTCCAGAGAAATCATGGAGCCCTCCTCGGGGAACGGCCCGACCTGTTGCCACCGCCCCTCGTTCCACCCCCATCTCGGCCACACCGCTGGGATCGGTCGCGGGGCTCGGAGACGTCGGGAACAGGTCGCGTTTGAAGAGGTCGGTGAAGGGCTCGCCGACTGTACCAACCTGCGCCGCCACTTGCCGCAAGGCAGGCTCAATAAAACCACGCCACCAAAAGGAGTGGGCGTCGCAGCGGAACCGTCTGTGGTAGAGCGGGCCGTCCCTGTAGCCGCAGAGTTGGTAGGGATACTGCAGTCGTAAAAGCTGACCCTAGCTCGACACAACTAGACGTTTTGGATCAAGCTGCGGACCGTAATCCAAAAGCCGAAATAATGTGACAATGTGTCTTTCACCCTCCCTCTGTGGGAGAAGGGCTCCCTCCAACAAGCCCATCTGTGAGAGAAGGGCTCGTTATGTGAGCTGTTTGTCTGGAGACGATTGGAAGGAAGAAACATTACGTTGCTACTGAGACCCCACGCATCGGAACTGTGATGCAACGGCTCAATCAACGAGCGACCGCCACAGGACCGAGGACCGACATGTGCCAGAGGCCCAACATGCCAAGCGCGCCCCGCAGGCCGCGGGCTTCCCAGAAAAGGCCAGTGAGCGGCGCCAGACGTCGAGCTGGCTGCATTTGAAGCCCCAAGCACACGGTTGAGTGTGAGGACCTGCGCCGTAATGTGATCATAGGCCCTGCGACAGGACTGGTCGGCGAGGGGAGGAGGAGGAGGAGGAGGAGGAGGAGGAGGAGGAGGAGGAGGAGGAGGAGGAAGGCGAGGAGGAGGAGGAAGACGAGGAGGAGGAAGACGAGGAGAGGAGGAGGAAGAGGAGGAAGGGGGAGGAGGAAGGAGGAGGAGGGAGGAGGAGGAGGAGGAGGAGAGGAGGAGGAGAGGGATGAGGAGGAGGAGGAGGCGGGGCAGGCTGGTGAAGCTGCTGCTCCTCGTCCGAGTTCGGGACGGCAAGCTTGAGAATGATTCAGAATGAAACTGCCGCACAGAACCAGAAAGAGGTAGGAACCCAACGCTACAGGACTGGGACCAGGTGACAACCGGTTGCGCAGTCTCGCGATGACCTCGCTTTTCTCTCCGCAGATCCCCGCTCGATTCTCGTCCTCACCCCGCCATCAAAGAGATCGCAGCCTTTTCATCGTGCACGTGCCCGCTGATGGGCTACATGGTGTCCGTATGACATGGCAGACGGGCCGACCGACGGACGTAGTATATATATATATATATATATATATATATATATGTATGTATATATAGACATATATACATATATACACATGTATATAACCATGTGCTCCGACGGTTGCACAGAAACGAGCGTTAGCGACAAGGGCAACGCCCGGGCCACGGGTGCCACAGCACTGCGGTGGCAGAACGCAGCGGGTGCTGCTGGCGAGACAGCTCGCAACGACAGCAAATGTGGGAAGGCGGGCATTGGTCTACGGGAACAAACAAATGCTATAAACATAAAAACTCGGAAGTCCGCGCGGATTTCTCGGATCGGCGCCGGAGGCGCCGCCGGGGGGGGGGGGGCCCCAGCGCCGATCCGAGAAATCCGCGCGGACCTCCGAGTTTGTATGCTTATGCCACTTTTTGTTCCCCTGGCCATTGCGCCCCCTTCCCTGCCGTTTGGCCGGGGTCGTGGGGCGGGCCTAGGCCCTCCCATCCCGTTTGCTGGCTCGCACGGGAGGGCCCCGGCCCCCTCCGCTGCCTGCCGCTCTCGCGCGCCGTGGCCCGGGCGCTGCAGCGGGTGGCAGTGGGCTCTGCGCCGCCCCCCTGCTGGTAGCCAGCGCCCGCCTGCCCAGGACCGAGTGCACGGAATGTTTTCGCATGCGTAAGGGAACAAACAGCATACATAGGGGCCGGGGCCCTCCCGTGCGAGCCAGCAAACGGGACGGGAGAGCCAGGCCCGCCCCACGACCCCGGCCGAACGGCAGGGAAGGGGGCACAATGGCTAGGGGAACAACAAATGGCATAAACATAACAACTCGGAGGTCCGCGCGGATTTCTCGGATCGGCGCAGGGGCCCCCCGGCGGCGCCTCCGGCGCCGCCCCCTGGCGCGCTCCGCGCGCCAGGGAGGGGGGCCCCAGCGCCGATCCGAGAAATCCGCGCGGACCTCCGAGCATTTATGTTTATGTCATTTTTTGTTCCCCTAATGGCGGCAACTGGCAGGAGGAAGGAGAGCCCACCGTCATCAGCTACCAGCGCTAGGGCCGCGGCGCACGAGAAGGGCAAGCAGTGGCCGCATGCAGCCCGCGACAGCGACTTCGCGAAGGAGGCGCGAGTGGGGGGGTGGAGGTGGGGACCAAGGCGGACTGCGAGAGCGGAGCGCAGTGGTGCCGAGCGGAGTGGAGGTGAGCCCACCGTCACCATCTAGAGCTCCAGGGCAGAGGCTCGCGAGGAGGGCGGGCAGTGGCAGCAGGGACGGTGCGCAGGATCCATGCCCTCGGCTCCAGGGCAGGCAGGGGTAAGCTGGTGCTCAAACTGCGAACCTTGCACGGCGAGGCGCGCAAAGGATAAGCGATCGGCCGCAGTGGAGGGGCCAGCTCGCGCGAAGGAGGCGCAGGAGTGCCAGGGGCCACGGCGGCAGAGTGCGGGCGCGGGAGAGCCGTGGTCGCGGTGCGGGAGCCGCGGCGGCAGAGGCGGTCGTCAGCTACACCGCTGATATCAGGGACACTTTGGCTCAGCCGAGGGGGCGGACACACACGTGAGCCATGCCATCAGCTATGGTGCTGGGATGCGTTCGTGTTGGGGGGCACAGGTTTGCGCGGCAGGCTGGCGCTAAGCTGGGACCAGGCGTCATCAGCTACATTTGACAGCGCAGCACTCCTCTACAGAGGTGCAAGCGCTGAGGCCCCGAGAGCGCATGGCCCTACAGTGCAGACCAAGCTAATCCACGATAATCCCCTCCTCGCCGTCGCTCTCCTCCTCCTCCTCCTCCTCCTCCTCCTCCTCCTCCTCCTCCTCCTCCTCCTCGTGCTCCTCCTGCCCCCGTCCTCTCCTCATCCTCCTCGCCCCTCCTCCCGTCCCTTCTCCTCTCTCCCCCTCCTGCCCCTTCTCCCGCACCTCTCCCGCTGCCCCCCTCCGCCCTGCCCCCCCCCCCTCCTCCGCGCCGCCCCTCCCCCGGAGGGGGAGGCGGGGGGGGGGGGGGGGGGCGGCGGGGGCGAGGAGGCGGGGCACGTGGCACGCGCGGAGGCGGGCGCGAAAGAGGAGGCGGAGCGGGAGAGGCACGCGGGCGCTGCCGTCGGGGGCCCCGGGGAGCACCGATATCAGCCTCTCTGCACCCGCGAGGGGGGGCGAGGAAGGAGAAGGCCGCGGCGTCGGGGCCGCGCGCCGGGGCGTCGGTCGTCTCGGGGGCCCCGCCGCTCCGAGAGGGCGGGGGTGGGCGGAGGCGGCGGGGATGGAGCAGGCTGGTGGGCGCAGTGGGGGGAAGGAAGGAAAAGGAGGAGCAGAGGGAGGAGGAGGAGGAGGAGGAGGAGGAGGAGGAGGAGGAGGAGGAGGAGGAGGAGGAGGAGGAGGAGGGGGAGGAGGAGGAGGAGGAGGAGGAGGAGGAGGAGGAGGAGGAGGAGGAGGAGGAGGAAAAGGAGCAGAGGAATGAGGAGGAGGAGGAGGAGCTGTGGGTGGGGGGGGAGGGGCAGAGAGGATGGGGGGAAGCAATGAGTGGAATGCAGAGGACGCTGACGAGGACGCGTGCGGATCCTCCACAGGGGTCCGCTCGGAAAGATGACGGGGGTTGTAGTACCCCTGCTTCCCCGACCAGAGAGCCCCCTGGAGGTCGCGAACGGTTCCGAGCGGCCTCGAGCGCAGCTGTGGACCAAACGAGGGCACACTTGAGTCGGCACTTGTGCTCACACGGTTCATGATACACGACGTTGCCACCAAACTAAAAGAACTGACCGGATCATAATCACACTGCGCTCCCAACATCAAGATGCCATGCGCGCGGCGAGGGGGCGTCAGGACCCAGTGCACGGAGTGCTTTTGCATACACGTCGCAACATTTCGACGCGCAGAACGACAGTCGAGCTGCCAGCGTCTTGTAGTCTATGCCCTCGCCGAAGTCCACGCCGAGCTCTTTGAGAGTCTGCCTCGGCCGCCGTGTGACTGAGCCACCGCACCCCATGCCACCGGCGCACCTAGTGTCGGGTCAGGTCAGCGAACCATCCGGTACCTACTGGAAACTGGGATGGTTGAAACACTCGTGATGCCGCCACGACTGAGCATCGTGATGTCGTGTTCCGTGTCGCGCGCAGCTTGCGAGCCAAGCTGTGCGCGATCGCAGTGGCTGCCAAAGCTCGCGCGGCCCTGGCTCCCTCCTCCCGCTGGTGCTCCCCTTGGGCATGGGGTTGGCACGGTGGTGTTCAACGCCTGGGCAAAATACGCGGCTGGATGCCCAGTCGGGGGGGGGGGTCTCGACGATCTCTCGTAATTTTGTATGTGTCTATATGAAGACTCCCTTGAACAATGCTTGCACTTGGGGGGGCCTTCCTTGTCTTCTAAAGACCGGGCCTGCGCGTCGGTCTGGCGGCTAGTGGCTGCCGTCGCCGCCTCGGCGCCGACTCGTCGGCGCCCGTCGTCTGGGCCTGCGCGTCGGCCTGGCGGCTGTGTGGTCGCCGCCGCCACCCCGTCGCCGTCTCGTCGCCGCCCGTCGGCGGGATGCCCTAAGGGGGCGCGGGGAAGGACCACGCCCCCCTCCCCCTCCCGCCCTTACCCCGGTCCGTCGTCCATGGAGATGGACCCCCTGCCCCCCTGTCCCAACCCGTCGTCCCAGACCTCCCCTCCTTTAGGAGGGGGGGGGGTTAACCCCTCGTCCCCCTTGGACTCGAAACTCGGACCCCACCCCATCCCCCCTTCGGCCATGCCCCCCCCCAGATCCAGACCCCCGAACCCCCGCCCTAACCCTAATCCTAACACCCTAGCCCTGACACCCTAACCCTAACAGCCTAAGCCTAACACCCTAACACCCTAACCCTAGCACCCTAACCCTCACACCCTAACCCGAACCCTACTGCCCTGAGCCCTAAGCCCTGACCCGATCACCCTAACCCGAACCCTACCGCCCCAACCCTAACACTCGAACGACCGCCGTACCCAGATCTAGCCTTACCTGTGACGGACCAAACTCATGTGCATCAGGCGACCAAGCTAAATGACCCGCATTGTTATGGCTGATGGCGACGTGAGAACCGTCAGTGCGTCGCGCAAGCGACGTGGGATGCCCCCGCCCGGTGCACGGCTCACAGAACCCTCGCCCCCCGCGGGGGAGGAATCTGGCCACCGGCGGGGGCGCCACGAGCAGTCGAGGCGCCGAATCCCCGTCAGACGTTACTCAGTCGGACACCCGGGGGCCCCTCGAAAGCCAAGTGGCGACCCTCTCGCAGGTCGCAGCCCCCCCCCCATCCCACCCCACCCCACGGATGGCGAAGTCGAGCCTGAGCATGTGCAAGACATCACTCCGCCGGACCCCCTCTCCACACGACCTCGAACGTGGCGACAGCTTCGCAGCTCGTAGCCCACTTGGATGGCGAGAGCGAATCTGGATCTGCGTAGGACGTCGCTCCGCTGGACCCCCCAGGGCCCTCGCAAATGGCGACAGATGCGCGGATCGCAGCCCCCGAAAATGCCGAGGTTGAATCTGGATTCCCGTATGCCGTCACCCCGCTGAACCCCCCAACAAGTTTCTTAAGAGTGGCGACAGCTCCGTGGTTCGCAGCCCCCAAGGGATGGCGTGGTCGAATCTGAGTCTGCGAAGAGGCGTCACTCCGCTGGACACCCCCCAGCAACCTTCGAAAGTGTCGACAGCTGCGCAGTTCGCAGCCGCCCCCAAGGATGGCGAGGTCGAAGCTGAGTCTTCGTAAGACGCCTCTCCGCTGACCCCCCAGCAGCCCTCGAACGTGGCGACGCATTCGCAGTTCGCCCCCCCCCCCGCCCCCGAGGGACGGCGAGGTCGAATCTGAATAAGTGTAAGACGTCACTCCGCTGGCACCCCAAGCAGCCCTCAAACGTGGCGACAAGTTCGCAGTTCTCGGATCACAAGGAGGGCGAAGTGTAGTCTGAATCTGCGTATGACGTCACTCCGCTGGACCCCCAGCAGCCCTCAAACGTGGCGACAAGTTCGCAGTTCTCGGATCCCAAGGATGGCGAAGTGTAGTCTAAATCTGCATAAGACGTCACTCCGCTGGACACCCCCGGCAGCCTTCGAAAGTGACAGCAGCTGCGCAGTTCGCAGCCCCCAAGCATAGCGACGTCTAAGTTAGGTCTGCGTAGGGCGTCACTCCGCTGGACCCCCCAACAGCCCTCGAAAATGGCGGCAGATTCGCAGTTCGCAGCCCCCTATGGATAGACGACCTCCCAGCAGCCCTCAGAAGTGGCGACAGCTTCGCAGTCCGCAGCCCCCCGGGGATGGCGAGGCCGAATCTAGGTCTGCGTAAGGCGTCTCACCGCTGCACCCGCCAGCAGCCCTCAAACGTGGCGACAGATTCGCAGGTCTTAGCCCCCCATGGGATGGCAAGGTCTGATCTGAATCTGCGTATGACGTCACTCCGCTGGCCCCGCCAGCAGCCCTCAAACGTGGCGACAGATTCGCAGCTCGCAGCCCCCAAGGGATGGCAAGGTCTGATCTAGGTTTATGTAAGGCGTCACTCCGCTGGACCCCCCAGCAGCCATCGAAGGTGTCCACAATTTCGCAGTTCGCAGCCCCCCCCCCTCCCCAGTGATGGCGAGGTCTACTCGAGGTCCGCGCAAGGCGTCGCCCCGCCGGATCCCCCAGCTGCCCTCGAAAATATTGACAGTTTCGCAGTTCGCAGCCCCCAGAAGGATGGCGAGGTCGAATATGAGTCTGCGTAAGGAGTCACTCCGCTGGACCCCCCAGCAGCCCTCAAAAGTGGCGACAGATTTGCTGTTCGCAGCCGCACAAGGATGGCGAGGTTTAGTTTAGCCCCCCAGCAGCCCTCGAAAGTGGTGACAGATTTGCAGTTCGCAGCTCCCAGGGATAATATGCGAAAGACGCCACTCCGCTGGACCTGACGGGCAGCCTTCGAAAGAGGTGACGGATTCGCAGTTCGCAGCGCCCCAGGGATGGCGAGGTCTAACTATTCAGGTCTGCGCGAGGCGTCGCTCTGCTGGACCCCCAGCAGCCCTCGAGAGTGGCGACAGCTTCGCAGTTCGCAGCGCCCCAGGACGGCGAGGTCGAACTATGACGGTCTGCGTAAGGCGTCGCTCCGCTGGACCCCGCAGCAGCTCTCGAGCGTTGCGATAGTTTCGCAGTTCGCAGCCTCCCAGCGAGCCTCCAGGCAGGACGGCGAGGTAGGAGGCAGGGTAGCAAACAGGCACGATGGGACAGGAAGAAAGAGGTGGGAGGAGGAAGTCGCGATCGCAGAGCTCGATTCACAACGAAAAAACATTGCAGGAGGGAGGGCTGGGGAAAAATACCATGCGGTCGGTGCACATCTGCTCATCTCAGCTTCGCCTTCTCAGGCCTTGAACCATCACGATTCCATTAAAACGACATAGTTTCCTCCACATCCTGATCGCACATCTGCTGGTTTGAACATCGCCTTCTAAAGCCCTCAACCTCCACGGTCCTATGCAGATGAATTGCTGTTCTGGACACACCCGGTCAAAGCCCCTCACGATGAAAATGTGTGCCGCCAACGACTCTTTCCGATGCGATTATGCACATCTGCTGATCTTAACATCACCGTCTCAAGCCTTCAACCTTCACGATCCCCTGCCAAGTAATACGTTTTGTCTGCACACACCCCGCGCAAACCTTTCACGATGGAAATGTGTGCCACTCACAGAGGTTGGCCTCCCGAACCCTCTCCAGCGCAAAGGAGGGGAGAGAGGGGAGAGGAGTGCGAAATCCTCCCCCCCCCAGGCGCAAACGAGGGGGTGAGCGGGGGGGGTGTCCGAACCCTCCACCCCCCCTTTCAAAAATTACCCTGGCGACGTACCCAACCCCTGCGCAAAAGCGGGGCGCAAATAGTTTAGGATACTTTATAAGGGTGCGATGATGGAGCGAGGGTTACATATGTCTGCAGACGGCATTCGGGAGACTCGCAGGACACTGGCTACAGGAAAAGGGCTTGATAAAGCTGATGCGTTACAATTCCTGGGCACTCCTAGCCACTTCGAAAACGGGGATCACAGCAGGCCTCGAAAGTGGCGACAGTTTCACAGATCGCAGCCCCGCAGGGATGGCGAGGTCTAATTTGGGTCCGCGCGTGGCGTCACTGTGCTGGGCCCCCCAGCAGGCCTCGAAAGTGGCGACAGTTTCACAGATCGCAGCCTCCAGGGGATGGCGAGGTCTCATTTGAATCTGCCCGTGGCGTCACTGTGCTGGGCCCCCCAGCAGGCCTCGAAAGTGGCGACAGTTTCACAGATCGCAGCCCCCCAGGGATGGCGAGGTCTAATGTTGGCGTAACTGTGCACTGTGCTGGGCCCCCCAGCAGGCCTCGAAAGTGGCGACAGTTTCACAGATCGCAGCCCCCCCAGAGATGGCGAGGTCTAATTTGAATCCGCGCGTGGCCCTCACTGTGCTGGGCCCCCCAGCAGGCCTCGAAAGTGGCGACAGTTTCACAGATCGCAGCCCCCCAGGGATGGCGAGGTCTAATTTGAATCTGCGCGTGGCGTCACTGTGCTGGGCCCCCCAGCAGGCCTCGAAAGTGGCGACAGTTTCACAGATCGCAGCCCCCCAGGGATGGCGAGGTCTAATTTGAATCTGCCCGTGGCCCTCACTGTGCTGGGCCCCCCAGCAGGCCTCGAAAGTGGCGACAGTTTCACAGATCGCAGCCCCCCAGGGATGGCGAGGTCTAATTTGAATCCGCCCGTGGCCCTCACTGTGCTGGGCCCCCCAGCAGGCCTCGAAAATGGCGACAGTTTCACAGATCGCAGCCCCCCAGGGATGGCGAGGTCTAATTTGAATCTGCCGTGGCCCTCACTGTGCTGGGCCCCCCAGCAGGCCTCGAAAATGGCGACAGTTTCACAGATCGCAGCCCCCCAGGGATGGCGAGGTCTAATTTGAATCGCCCGTGGCGTCACTGTGCTGGGCCCCCCAGCAGGCCTCGAAATGGCGACAGTTTCACAG